AACACCCCCCCCCCCCCCCCGTATTTATCTTCTTCATTTCAGGTTTGTTTATCTTTTTGCCCCTTCTGTCTACTTCTGTTTCAGGGAGTGCATGTGGAAGAACAAACCATGGAGAAGTCTTGTCTTCAGGTTCAAACAGCATAAGCCAGAGATTCAAATGAATTCTGATTCAGTTTTGTGGTTGGTTAGCAAACCATGGCTTGTTAGTCCAGTTGGGATAACATGTTACAACAAACTAGACTATGGCTTATTAAAATTATATTGAGATCTTCATGCTGGGCAGAAACCTTGGGCTCTTGTACTTCTTGCTTGCCCGCCCTTCCTAACTCTGGCATAAGTTACAAGGGTTCTCAGAGATTTTGGTCCTTTTTCATTAACCACAGCTACCTGTGTTGCAACCTTGCAATTAATGTTAACTATAGTCTGTGGGAACAAGCCAACATCAAAGAGCTATGGTTAATCTATTTTGGGTTTGGACAGCATACTGGATGGTACCGTATTTTTCCATTTATAAGATGACCCAATGTATAAGACGACCCCCCCTTTTCTAACACCAAATTAGAAAATTTGATCCGTGCTTCTCCCTTCCATTTGCTAAGACATGGAGCTTAGCAAAAGGAAGGGAAAAGCAGTGAACAAAGGGCTCCCTTTGACCACAGTTTTTCCTTGCCTTTTGCAAAGCCATGGTGCTTAGCAAAAAGGAAGGGAAGGCTCCCTTCGGGTAAAGGCTGCACTACTGCAGCCCTTTGATCCTGAAGCCCTTTCATGGCTGCTAAAGCCCTGCTAAAACTGCTAAAGGAGCTCCCCACAACCTTCCCTTCTTTTTTTCTAAGCCCCACGGCTTCGCAAAAGGCAGGGAAAAGCGGCTGCCTTCCGTATAGAACATGACCCTCAATTTTTTGTCTAATTATTTAAGAAAAAGTGTTGTTTTATACATGGGAAAATACGGCCATTAATGTAAAATACTGGAGGAGGAGAGAGGAATGAGTGAGTGACTGGGACCAGAGGCTCATCCATGTAACACTACAATATGGGTTTAGTGTTTACATCCAAACACAGGCAATACTATGTTTAAAAAATGTCATTACTTCCTACCCGCAGTGACGACCCATCACCTCCAGCACAAATGTCCTCTGGTGGCTGTAAGACAAAATCCAAAGTAAACAGAGTAATAATTTGTGAGCTGCCCTGGATCCTTAACCAGCAGAAAGGTAACACAGAAGTAAAACAAAGAAAAGGGAAGGGACACTGACTGTTTTTGTATGAATTTTCTTGCATTGCATTATCTAGTTCACTCTGGCATGCAAAGCACTAAAGAGCTTCTGAGATTTTTCTAGCTCTTGCCAAGACACCTTCAAACCAAAAGTGAGGAAGTTGTTGTTGATTGAGGATTTCCTCTCCAGAAGCAAATTATTCTGAAACTGAAGTTCTAACAATGCTGAATTTTGGCTCCAACACCAAACTTCCATCCTCCTCCTCCTCCTCCTCCTCCTCTTAGAACTACAGAGTTGGAAGGGACCCTATAGATCATTGAGTTCAGCCCGTTCAAGGAGGCACAGAGGGAAATGGAATTCCCATTCTTTGGCTGGCTCTGCAGCCAGACGCCTCAGAGCTCTCATGCTTTTGTTGTGTTGTCAAGGAACTGCAGGATAGAAACAGGCCAGCAGAGCACACTTGTGGCTTACCTTTGGGCAGTGGTAGTGATGGCGTCCACAATCTCCATGATTCGGTGGAGAGCTGAGTCTGTGCCAATGGTCATGTCGGTACCGCAGAAGTCATTGTCAATGGAGCCAACCATGCCTACAATGTTCAGGTGGCTAGACCTCTTTGCCTCTTCTGCTGTGATGCCACCTAAAAAAGGTTTGGGGCAAAGAAGGAATGCAATATCATCAGAATGCAACATCATCAGAAGTTACAATTATGCCACTGTGGCCAGCTGACTTAACATGAAGTAACTTTTCCAAACTCTGTTCCAACCACTGCGTTGTCTAGTTTAGTGCTGTCTACCCTACTAAGCAGAAACTGTCCAAGCTTCAAGCTGTTGCCCCTCTTTGGCTAACATGTAATAGAAGAATTCTAAAAACAGTTCTACATTCTTGGCCGATAGGTGCCACAATATACTACTTTTCTCCCTCTCCCAGAATTCACATCATAAACTTGTCTTGTGCTCTAATACTATTAATGTTCTTCAGTTCTGAAAAGAGCTTTGTCCCTTATATTGTTTTCGCCCCCCCATGACAATCCCCGCTGGAGGCAGATGTCATTGGCTTGCTCACAGCTACACAGCAAAGCCATGGCTATGTCGAGACTTAAACCCAACTCATCCGAGTCCAAACTGAGCTACCCACTGGAACATAATTTTCTTTTCTCTACTTTCTCTCTCACACAGAGCACAAGACAGAAAGGGCCAAAGTTGCGAAATACAAAAGTCATTTTCAAGTTACTGTCAGACATTCTCCCCCCCCCTCCTTGCACATGCCTGAAAAAGGGATTTTTAATCCAGGAAAGCTTGCATTAATTGTTTGATTTTTTTACCCCTGCACATGCCTGAAGAAGGGATTTTTAATCCAGGAAAATTGTTTGATTTTTAAAAACATGGTCAAATAAAGGTATTGCATTCTTCTACATTTGTCCTGAAATGGGCTCACTATTGCAAAATGGATGGGTTGTGTCATCTTTGGAAGTAAGATCCTCACAGGGGGACTTAAAGGGGACAGGGATTCAGACACACAAACACTGTAGGTGGGTTTCAGTCTTATGCTCATGCAGGCTAGCTATTCCACACAGATGGGAGAAACTATTCCTGGGTGTCAATGTGGGGGTCCCTGTCTTTGCTTCTAGCATCCTTCTCCTGCTTTTACATTCCCCCTCTTTGACTTTCCCATCCACAGCTGCAATACCTGTCTTAACTAGGTCCTGTAGCAAACCGCTCCATTCTGCTCGGAAAGTGTCTGCTCCAGTTAAGCTGCCATCACCCCCAATCACACACAAGTTGGTGATTCCTCTCTTGACCAGGTTGCGAGCAGCTTTCAGGCGTCCTTCCCGCACACGGAAATCCATGCACCGGGCACTCCCAATCACCGTGCCACCCTAGGTAGGGACGAAGCAAGTGAGAGTTTGAGTCAAGGTGAGGGCCACCTGACCCACCAGCTGCTTGGTTCAAGGAGGTGAAAGAAAGGCTATGATACACATGTGTAAAACTTCGGATGAGAGGAAGGGGGAAAACAAAACTCCAGTTGGGTCCAATATTATATATTTGAGAGACAGAAGGTATTGTTCTTGATATCTTTCCTTTTATGGCGGTGCCTTTTATGATTGCTTCCTTGTTATCTGGCTGGATAGCTCAGTGAGGTTAAGTATGGTTGGGAGTCTGATTCCCCTTACTGTGCCTTCTGCAAGCACAGCCAGCCTGGGTGGCCTCAGGCAAGCTGCACAGTCCCAGGGCACCCTCAGAAGAAGGGAATGGGAAATTGCTTCTGAATATTCTCTGCCTAGAAAACCCTGAAAAGGGTCACCATAAGTCCGAATTGACTTCAGGGCACATGGTCATTATTATTATTCCTAGTTCATAAGATTCACCCTGAACTCCATTCCCTGGCCACTAGTTTTGTTTTAAAGAACCTTGCTTGCTATCATTTTTTAGAATAGGCGGCTGAACATCTGTACAACATTTTTATACAGTGATCCTGCAAGAAATGAGCAGCATAACAAAGACAATAAATCACAATGAACAATATAAGGCAAATCCTGAAGAATGCTGGCAGGGGCGGGGGGGAGGGAGACACCAGTTGGAATAAATCTACAGTTGCAAAGAGGAAAAGTCACAGATACAGCACTGTATGTCTATTATGTAATTAATGTTATCCTCAAAACACACTTGACCAGATTTTCCCTTGATCACTGGGAGGCTTATAGGCAAACAAATTTGTGTCCAGACATCTAATAACAGGGTATCATGTGTCCATAAACACAACTTTGTCCCTATGCTCTGTACATATTGTATCTTATGTTACAAGTTAGTTTCTTTAACAGGGACCATCTCCAGAATCTGTCAAATCACCTCTGTATTGATTGGTTACCAAATGATCTTTCCACTGTTCATGACAGAGAGGGCTGCAGAGTGAGATGTTTTCCTCCCTGAAATTTCCAGAGAGCCTTGTTAAACTGATGCCAAAAAAAACCCACAAAAGATCCTTGTTATGCTTTAAACCAGTGGTTCTTAACCTTTGTTACTCAGATGCTTTTGAACTGCAACTCCCAGAAACCCCAGTCAGGACAGCTGGTGGTGAAGTTGCCAAAAACCCCACAAAAGATCCTTGTTATGCTTTAAAAGACTACTGAGTTCTATTTAGAATTAGATTTTTTCTTTAATTTGTTACCTGCTAATGACAATTCTTAGTAACCACTTGTAAGACCACTGCTGTCCCGGTTCCTCCCACATTCCTATCACAATTTTTTTCTTTACCCTGCCTCACTGCTATGCATATAAACACTCATCTACTAAGGAACATCCCATGTGTCTAGAGACATAGGCTGCAATCAGCTTAAGTTTATGCAGTTTCTTAGGCCAGGATCTTATTGAGTCCTTACATTGAGTGGGCAGATCTTCCCTATTCACACAGACCACATCTGTCCTTTATATCTTCTCAAGAAGGCTGGGAACCCCTCCCTGAACAGAGTTTTGACTGCCATGGACAACTGCAGAAAGCTGTCTCTGGGGTAACTGATGGTCCATTATGACTAGGGAGGGGCTGCATGGCAAGGAGGAAATCACCTCCTCCAAAATCTGCTCTTAGACTTCTTCCACCAGTGCAAGGATCCAATATGGTGCTACAAGACTCTTTACTTCCCCTATAACCCACTCATCTATGCCAGTTTTGTTCATTACAGATTATGGCATCCTTATGATAAGCAAAAATCACATAATGGCTATCAGAGAGGGCGTACGAATTTCACCAAGTAGGCAATTAAATATAAGGGTTGGGGAAGAGCAGATAATATTGATGGCACATATGATCTAGTGTGGTGTAGCAGGTTGCAATGCTGGGCTGAAACTTTAGTCCAATACTCTGCTGGGCCACAAACGTAGTAGTTGACCTTGAGCGAGACATCCTCTCTCCCTTAATCTCACTTACTGCTCAGAGTTGTTGTAAATATGAGGTAGGGAGGGATTAAGAGCCATGCATACCACCTCGAGCTCATCGCAAGAAAGGAGGGATGGGTTGCAATTAATTCTAATTGAAGAAGCATGTCAACAAACCGGAGCAAGTTCAAAGGAGGGCAACAAGGATGATCAGGGGACTGGACACCAAGCCGAATGAGGACAGACTGAAAGAACTGGGCCTTGGGAAAATAAAGCTGAGTGGAAATATGGTAGCATGCATCAAATACTTGAAAAGTAGTCATACGGAGGAGGGACAGGATCTGTTCTCGACCAGACCAGCTGGGTGGGATATAAATCAAATAAATAAATAAATAAAATAAATAAATAATCCAAGAGTGCAGGACACCTAATAATGGGCTCAAATGACATGAAGGTCAGATTTAGACTGAATATCAGGAAAAAAAACCTTTTAACTGTTAAAGCAGTACAACAATCGAACCAATTTACCTTGGCAGGTGGCAAGCACTTCAACAATGGAGGCATTCAAGAGGAAAATGGACAACCAGATCTGTTAGATCTGCTTTGATTTGGATTCCTGCATTGAGCAGGAGGTTGGATTCAATAGCCAACCTCCTGCTCAATAAATAATAATACTTCTGTAGTCACAGCAGAAAGGTTTGGATGCCTAGAGACTGACCCAGAAGCCTCTCCAGTTCTTGTTTATGAAATCCAAACACATCCTCTCTCAACACTCCCAGTGGAAGCAAAGCTACAGGCAAAGGTCGGCTCCAATTTCAACTTATTTTGGGTCTCAAGACATTCATTGTGACCCCAGCCACAGTGCTATCATTACACATAAGACATACGACCATGGCAGTGACCCCAACCAAGGAAAAGGTCAAGATGTTACAATAATTTTCCTTCTGACAGGAATCCATGTTATAAATAACAGGAATGCTAAGGTATATTGGAGGGAAATCTGTTGATTCTGGGTGGAAGATCTTGATAGACCTGCTTGGAATTCATTTATTTCCCTCCCTCCCTCCCTAGAGGCCTCAAGAAAAAAATGGGCAAGGATCTGTGGAGAAACTTGCTCAGCTTTTCTTTCGCTTACCATTTGCTCATATTTATGTAACATTTCTCTTGAACACTATCTTTTTCTCATAAAATGGGTCTTCTAGATAAGATATTGTGCTAAACCTAGCCCAAGGTGTTGCAAAACCTCAGAAAATAACACCATTATGGCTCAAGTTTTTAAAATGGTTACCCTTTGCTTCCAGAGAAATGACTTTTCCCCCTTCTGAGGACATGAAGAGGCCATTGGCTGTTTGAAGGAGGGGTTATTCTCTTTATTTCAGAGGGGCTGTTCATGGTCCAAGCAGGGAGCCCAAAATATCTCCTGCTTGGACCACTGGCTGACTAGATCCATTTCACCACAGTTATGGACAGTAGAGAGAGGTAAGAGTTCTTCAGTGATTAAAAGCAGTACAATCTACTAGTGATCTCATGAGAAGAGAAGACTCCTTGGAAAAGACCCTGATGTTGGGAAAGCGTGAAGGCAAGAGAAGAAGGGGACGACAGAGGACGAGATGGTTGGAGAGTGTCATCGAAGTGACCAACATGAATTTGACCCAACTCCAGGAGGCAGTGAAAGACAGGAGGGCCTGGCATGCTCTGGTCCATGGGGTTACGAAGAGTCTGACAGGACTAAATGACTAAACAACAACAAGAACAACAATCTACTAGTGCTGAAGCTAGTGGGTTCACTGTGCAGCATTATTCGTTACCTGTATTCCCAGGAGATCCTCGGGTCTTAATTGCAAGCAAACAGTATAGTTCTTGGGATTCCATCCCACATTCCACAACTGTTTCTAGTAAATAATGCTGTTCTGTTCTGTCTACTCTTAATCACAGATTGAATTTTCAGGGGATGAAAAAACTATCTATAGACCCATGTCTTAATATGTGATGAATGTAAACAATGTCTTGAAGCTGGTGAGATAACTGGCCTGGCTATGTTTAAAAAAACAACAACAAGATCCTCACCTGGATCTCCTGATGAAGCTACACCACACAGTCAAGATGTACACAGACCATTCTCTCTCTTACTGTCCAGGCACCTACGTTTTACAGTACCTCAGCCTTGAGCCATAGCCCTATCAGGGGTGAAATGAACAAGGGAGAGAAGGACCATGTTTGTCGTATCCCCTCCTTCTTATCTCTCCATGTGTGTACCGTTAAATTTGGAAAGGATGGCTGCCTCTACCTGCGAGCATCTCTGCACAATTGGGAGCCTAGATTTTTCAGGATTGCTGATTCTGAGATGCATCAGGAATAGAGATCGCTCTCCTCGTCAGATTTACCTCTCTGCACATGGAGAGACAGGGCGGAGATGTATGGGGCTAGTCCTCGCCTTCCTTCCTGTGTCTCTTTTAACATCCTTGCAGAACACCTGAATAAGGCTTCAGTTTCATCAGACAGGTTTCATAATGGGGCAAGATCACTAGGGGAGGCAGGCATTCTGCACTTCATCCTGGCAAGCATCTTATGGTTAAGAATCCAGCCCAGCCATATTGATAGTTCATTCAAGAGTTGCGACCCTTCCCACAATATTCTTCAGAACTGCCACAAGTCCCTTTAAACAACCAACTGGCGACCCGCCTACAAAATAAGTTCCCTTGAGAATAAATTACTCAACTGACTATTTCCTGTTCCAACATGTACATTGTTTTTATACAGTTTAAGCAGACACATTTTACACCTCATGGTTGCTTTCTTTGTTTCTCCTCAAAGGACACCGCAAACAAAAGGGAAACAAATTAAGGATAATTGGAAACATCATATCACAAATTAAAACAAAACTATGACATGCAATACTAATAAGAACAAACAAAATTGCCTGAAATTCTGTAACAGGGAAGGTGGTTCCCTCAGGGACAATTTGTTAGATGCTAGTGGTTGGTGGGCTGAAGCTAACAGTAGTCAGAGGTCAGACTCAAAGCCGAGAATTCCAATTTTCTTCTCTCTCTTTTCAATCTCTCTCTTTCTGTCCCCTTTTCCTCTGTCTTGTCTCCTTCTCACCCCCTCTTGGTAAAGGGGTGGTATTGCTCTTACAGAAGCCCTCGCTTACTTGCACAGGGCTTTTGAAATTAGGCTGAGGGGAGCAGGTTGCTAACTCTTCTTTTATACGACTGGTTCCCAACCCTGAGTCCCCAGATGTTCTTGGACTGCAGCTCCTAGAAATCCTGGCCAGCACAGCTAGTGGTGAAGGCTTCTGGGAATTTTAGTCCAAGAACATCTGGAGGCCCAAGGTTGAGGACCACTGCCCTAGAGGGTCCCATGGGCAGATACATGGCCACACACCCACAAAGAACACTGGCGCTACCTGAAATGGGGAGGTCAGCTCACAGGAGCTCTACGGCATAAAACCCAGGTGTCTGACTTACCAGCTGCAGCATCATAGACACACTTTCCCATGTTGCTTCCTTAATGTTGTCGCCACCATCCACAAGTCCTTGGTAACCCTAGAGAGGGGGGAAATGCAGAAAAGCATTTTAAGCCCATCATTTAAAGTTCTTACTGCTCAAGATGCATATAATATAACATACGTAGACACTTTTATTGAAGTTGGTTTCTGCTGAGAATGCAGCTCTCAGGAGGTGGTGTGTGTGTGTGTGTGTGTGTGTGTATTTTTACACTGATGTGCTTTTCAACTGCTTTCAGTGGTTGAGGCACCTGGCTGTGGAGCTGAAGGCTGGGAGTTTGTTGCACAGTATGCCTTCTTGATAAGGACCGGACTCAATGATCCATAGGGTACTTTCCAGCTCTGCAGTTCTAAGTTTATTTTATATAGTCTCATGTTATTTACACATTCTGTTTTTTGGGGGTTTTTTTGTTTTTGTTTTACTGCTCGAGAGTTTTTCACAAGCTTCTAAAGGAGGAAAGGAAAGAGGGGAAAAGAAACCATGTTATTTACACATTCTGTTTTTTTGTTTTTGTTTTTGTTTTTGTTTTACTGCTCAAGAGTTTTTCACGAGCTTCCAAAGGAGGAAAGGAAAGAGGGGAAAAGAAACGAGGGCAAATGATCCCACCCAAACAATGAGGACAGGTATGTGTGTGCGTCTCAGTTCAGCAAAACAAGCCTGATCCGGAAAGGCCCCAGCTAGTAAGAAGAGAGCAACTGGACTGACGTACCTCATGAACAAAGTAGACTTTGGCACCAGTGTATATCCCCACTCGGACCACTGCCCGGACAGCAGCGTTCATGCCTGTACAAAGCCAAAGAAGAAGAGAGATACCATTGAGACCCACAGTCAAAACTGAAGATGGGTTTCCAGCAAAGAACAATGGACAGGATGCAATCAAAGAAATAATTAGCATTCTTTGCCTTGCTGTGTACTCTAAGGGAGCCATGGGCTGGGGCTGGGGCTGCCTATCAAGGTTCTGGTGATGCAGTCACACCTGCTTCCAGCCTCCAGCCTTCCATTTGTGACCCTCTAGATTTTTCTCACTGCTTTCTCCATGCTATTTTTCCCCCTTTAACATCAGAAAATATATGAAAAGACAAACAAAAGAGGTGAGGACAGAATTTCCAAGCTGGCATCTATCTATAGAACTGTATCTTAGCTTTCTGACAAATAAACAATGATTTGTAAATAGTAATGTTCAATTTTTAACCAGCCTATGAGACTGAAGTCTCGTTCAGAAGTGATACATGTTTCCCCCTTTCTCTGTTGTGTCTGCGCTTGGGGTTAGAGTGATCCTTTCCTACTGAATCACATTAAAAAAAATCTCAGTGGATGTGGATTTTAAGTGGCAGTTGAGCATATAAAGAAGGGATGTGAAAAGGAGAAAAAAATATATCAGGCAAAATCCAAAGAAACAAATGAAACAAAACAAAACAAAGAGGACAAACATGAGGCATCTTAAAGACTAAATATTATATTTTAAGGTGAGCTTCTATGGATCATATTCTATTGAAAGCAAACAAACTCAGAAGTGGGCCTGAGGAAGTTCTGGCAGAGAGGAGGGACAAGCAGAAAGAGGTCAATGGTGGCAGTGGCTACGGATATTGTTTGGCAAAGGTGGGGCGGAGGTAGGTGTTCTCCACAGGAAATAATAGAACCGAACAGGGCCAAGAGTCCTGCCAGTCAATATATGGCGAAGTTCTCTTTATTTCCCAGAATACTGCAAATGTCAAGAGTGCAGATGGGTTAGTGAGATTTAGGTAAAGGTAAAGGTAAAGGTTCCCCTTGACAATGTTTGTCCAGTCGTGTTCGACTCTAGGGGGTGGTGCTCATCCCCGTTTCCAAGCCATAGAGCCAGCGTTTTGTCCGAAGACAACTTCCATGGTCACATGGCCAGTGCGACTTAGACACGGAACGCTGTTACCTTCCCACCGAGGTGGTCCCTATTTATCTACTTGCATTTGCATGCTTTCGAACTGCTAGGTTGGCGGGAGCTGAGACAAGCGACGGGCGCTCACTCCGTCGCGTGGATTCGATCTTATGACTGCTTGGTCTTCTGACCCTGCAGCACAGGCTTCTGCGGGACGGGCGCCACCACGTCCCTTCAGTGAGATTTACCTATGAACAAAAATATATTATGCTATATTACAAATGAAGAATATGTGCCTCCTCCTCAGGTACTGTTGGACTGGAACATCCAATGGGTACAATAGCTGGAATTAATGGGAATTGAAGTCCATCAACATCTGGAGGATCACATACCCATCAACCCTTGGTTGTAGGCCATTTTACTGGTGAGAGAAAATGGCTGGAGCCATCAGCATGAGATGTGCATCTATAAATACTCCAAGAACAATAACTAGGTCTCATAAGTACATCCACAATGAGTGCTGTCTGCCACAATCAAAACAAAACAAAACAAAACCAGTAGAGGCTGGTAACCTTTTTGTGATAAAATAAAAAGATGGAAGTTGTGGAAAATACCAGAAGATTACTAATAGAAGACATATGCCTCTTATAAAAATCCCATTAATGAAGCAAAATGTATTGTAAAATAGGTGTCTAAGTATGTACAGTAAGTAAGCTCATATTATACTCCACACAAGAACTTCTGTGGACAATCATCGGTGTTAGCCTAAAGAGAGTTATAGTCCAATTCCTGTCACTGTAATTCATCCTCATCTTCATCCTATATTTTCTTCAAGATGGTATCTACGATTCTCCTCCCTAACTCAATATTTCACAAACATGTGATGTAGGTTAAGCAGAGGAATATTAGCAACTGGTCCTGTGAGTTTTGAGGAGGGCTGAACTTGAATCTCCTGGAAGAGTGAGGTTTTGGGACCATCCCAGAATCTCCAAGCAAGAATGACCATGGATTCTACAATTGGTACTCTGAAACAATAACAATGAATTTTCCAAGCTGTGCTTGTCTGTAACTGTTACCTCTACACCTAGCTGGCACTGCCCAGCCATTAACTGAAAAGGGTGGCTGTAAGTTAGAATCAGTAGCACACAGTTATTATTCTTTGCAGTGAGCCAGTCATGATCATCCAGCATAAAGTACCACTGAGGTCTACAATGCAAGGAGGAAATGGGACAACCACACATTCACCACAAGATCTTTTCAGAGAAAGAGCCAGATTACAGGTGCAACAACTAATAATGTATGCGTCTTGTGCTGTCCTGCGATTAGAAAGGAACAGATATCTGCTTCACGAGAACCATTTTGAAAACCCAAAGTAGGAAATGTTTACATTGACAGTATTCCTAGGACAGTCTTTCTGCATCATTTAGCTTTGAGGAATAAGCCCAGAAGAACTAGGCAGGATTTCTGGATTCTGTGGGGAAAAGGGCTTGAGAATAGCAACACAATTATGAATAGCAATCAAAATAAGAGTTCGCAAAAAAACAAACAACTTGGGGTTAAGCTATACAATACATGAGACTCAGATTATGCAGTTTCATACAGATGGGGAAATTTTTCCCTTCACCACCACTAGTACATCACTCCTCCCCACCCCCATGCAGTAAAAATGATTTGGAACCAAAAGTTAGCTCTCTCACCGCTTGGGCAGATGCTTCATTTGGAAAAAGGCATCTGACCTTTTATGAACAATCATTACTTCCATGATCTTTGACTTCAACCCCTCCACATGATAAGACCATCACACACCCCAAAGCCAAAGAGGTTAGGGGACAAGATTGGCGTAGCAAAGGGGTAAACAGGGTTGGGGAGGGGGAAGAAAAAAACAGCATCTCAACCTTCTTTCTAGAAACAGATTGAAAGAAGGCTAAGCACACAGCAAAAATCTTCATTGTCTCATGGAATTTGTAAATTTGTTATCTTCACTTTGGGGCCCTCTGTAATGCCTGCATCTGCTCTGAAAATTAAGGGTACTTTGCCTAAAGATGCCTCCAGAGCTATGGCTAGACATTATGGAACTATTCCATTTCCCACTTTGTAGCGGACGTTTCATGGGAAGATTAAGAATGGAAGAAGCATTGGCTAAACAAAGGAGGGTTACAAAGAATAATTATTGTTCCTTCTTAAAATTCTGCATTCGAAGTAAAGCAATAGGGCAGTAAAATCCTGGTCTTAGACTACCACCAAATATCAATTGCCACACCAGTAGGAAAAAGCTGGTGTCTGTAGTGGGGGGAAAGATCAAAAATATATAACGGCAGCTTAAGAATCAGAGAATCATGGAGTTGGAAGAGGCCTATAAGGCCACTGAGTCCAATCCGTGCTTGAAGCATGACTCCAAATCAAAACAGATCTGACAGAGGATTGTCCAATTTTCTCTTGAATGCCTCCAGTGTTGGAGTGCTCACCACCTCGCAAGGTCATTGGTTCCATTGCTTGAGATGTATCTGAAGCCCTGCATCTCGTAGGTCTGCTGCTCATGCCAACTTTGGAACATCCAAGACTTGCCTATTCCATGTCACTTTCTCTGAAGCCACTGGGCTGCCCAGACAAGTTTTTCTAGGGGAGGAACGAACACCGGCTCCATCATATGTGGCTTGGCGGTGAGCTACTACATCGCACTAACTCAGAGGAAGATTAAAGATTTTGAGCACTACTTTGAGATACTGGTCATTGTTACAGCCCAAACTTCATCTTTAATAAAGACTTGTGACATACATGTGCAGGAGGGACAGCAGCCTTATTGTGATTCTTAAACTCACCCCTACCGCTTCTCAGACCCTGCATCATGAAAAAGCCAAATTAAATGGCTGCAGTCCTTTATTACTCTACATCGGTAGGTGCCTAGACTCAGAATTCTCTTGTGTATCTGATCCTACCCTCAGATGATTTGCACATTTTATTTTTGAAATGCTGACATTTAAAGTAAGTGCCTGTGGCACTCATGGGCAGGCCACTCTTCTTACTGGCTTCAAAACATACCATGCTCAGAAAGGGACTGCAATTCAACACCACCAAATGCCTAGAAAAATCCCCTCCAGTCATGTGATCAGACAAACCTAGGAACAGGGGCGTTGCTGCTGCTACTGCTGCTGCTGCTTGATCTACAGGAAGGGTGAACAGAAGGCAAAGCACACCCCACTTTCAAAACAGTCTGGAAAAAATACATTTATGGGTGACAGCTCCCAGGATCCTCTAGCAAGGACAGCCACTGGCATCCTGAGAGCTGTAGTAAAATATATATACGGTAATTTTTCCAAGCTCTGCAATCAAAGCCAGTCTTTGTAGAATTCTGAGATGCACAAAACTGACCTCTAGGGACTCTCATTAGGTAAAGGTAAAGGTTCCCCTTGACAATTTGTCCAGTCGTGTAAGACTCTAGGGCATAGTGCTCATCCCCGTTTCCAAGCCATAGAGCCAGCATTTTGTCCGAAGACAATCTTCTGGGATCACGTGGCCAGCGTGACTAGACACTGAATGCTGTTACCTTCCCACCGAGTTGGTACCTATTTATCTACTTGCATTTGCATACTTTCGAATTGCTAGGTTGGCAGGAGCTGGGACAAGCGATGGGAGCTCACTCCGTTGCGTGGATTCGATCTTATGACTACTGGTCTTCTGACCTTGCAGCACAGAGGCTTCTGCAGTTTAACCCGCAGTGCCACCACATCCTGCTGGGAGTCTCATTAGATTTCCTGATATTTAAAGGGAAAACGAGCAACATAGGGACATCAGGTACCCTCCCTCCAGACTTTCAAGAAATTATTAAAACAGCACAGTTTGAAGAGACTTTTAGGGAGATCCTCCTCCTCGGGTGGCTGTTTGGACCCATGGCTTAGTTTTGTCACAGATAAAACTTATTATGTATTCAGTTATCTGTTTGAATTCATGTGTCTTTTTATTTGAAGAGAGGGAGCGGTTTGTGTGGGCTTGCTTTTGAGGTTTAGTCCACTGGTTCTTAACCTTTGTTACTCAGCTGTTTTTGGACTGCAACTCCCAGAAGCCTTCAGTATCAGCTCTGCTGGCTGGGGTTTCTGGGAGTTGCAGTTCAAAAACACCGGAGTAACAAAGGTTAAGAACCACTGGTTTAGTCCATTGTTTGTGTTTTTCTGCCCAGAGTGATTTTCACTATGTGGGGGCAGTATAAAAATGCATTAAGTAAATGAATAAATTGTGATTTATCACTCAGTAGTGTTGCAGATAAGCAAATGGGAAGCCCACTCCCCAGGGGCAGTAAAAAGCCTATCACCCTAAAAGAACATCCCTTTAAGAGAACCAGTGTGGTATAGCAATCTGAGTCTTGGAAAGGGGCTTGGGAGATGATGTAGGCTCCAGCCTCTACTAAGCAACGAAACCCCCTGGGTGACGTTGGTCCCCTCTGTTAGCTAGACTTCTTCAGACCTTGGAAATAATGTGTCAGATTTAACAGTTGATGTTAAATTCATTGTTTGGGCATTGGCAGGAGGACGGGTCAATGGACACATCCAAATAACATTTTCAACACGGTGTTTTTAATGTTTTCATATTGGTTTCCAAACACTATTTCCAAAGGATTAGACACATTCTGCCCATTGGAAAAGGGGAAAACAACAACATGATGTCAACAAGGAAAATGTCATGCTTTGTTTCCAAATGCTGGGCCGACTTCACAGGGTTGTTGTCCAAGCAAGAGCCAAGGGAGCCACACACACACACACACATTGCCCTGAGCTCTCAGGAGGAAAGCCAGAATATGCCTGTCTTTAAGAAATAATGGGAGACAAGGTTCAGGAATCTTCTCTCCTGCTAAGGGGCTGGAGGATAACATGCTGTGGGTGGGGCAGAATGAAAAAGATGGTGGGACCAGCCATTTTCACTTTCCTTCTGCCAAACTTTTCTGTCCTTCCCACCTTACTGTTCCTTTCCTTGGTCTTTTTCTCACTGGTATAGGAGGCACAGATTGCTCTCGCTGCAAATCTGTGAACAGACTACCTCGAGATGGTTCTCCCAACCGCCACTCCCTGCTTCCATCATTCTGTCTATTTTCTCCCTCCTTCTTTCAGGTCAGAAGTGAGCCCTGGCAAAGAGCTCTCCCTTCCTTTCCTGATGTTTTCTCCTCTTTGGCACCACTCTCCTGTGCCCTATTTTCTGACCCTCTTTCTCACTCTCTTTGTGAACTCTGCCACATGGTGAAGGCCATAGGCTAGCTACACTTCATTTCGGCTAAATGGATGGCCCTGTCCCTTTCCCCCTGCCTCCATAGCCTCACTGTCTGGTCCTGCCTCCTCCTCCTCCTCTTCTTCCTTCTCCACTGCCATCATCTTCAGAGACAGCAGCCTAGCTTCCTGTCCGGGAGCTGAGCTTACTCTCTCTGCACATGTGGACATCAATCACATTCACACCCCATCTCCTCACTAAGGACATCAAAGGAGTACATGTGGTCTACCTCTCCATTATTACCTTCTGAACAACTCTATGGAGTAGCTCAGGCTGAGAGAGAATGACTGGCTTTCATTCATTCAATGTGCTCCACAGCACAGCGGGGACTTGAATATAGGTCTCCCTCCACTCCTACTTCACTATTCTTGCATTGGCAGAGTACTGACCGGATGAACCTTAGAGCAGTGGTTCCCAACATTGAGTCCCCACTGGTGTTCTTGGACTACAGTTCCCAGAAATCCTGCCTAGCAAAGCTTGTGGTGAAGGCTTCTGGAAGTTTTAGTCCACAAACATCTGGGGACCCAATGTTGGGAACCACTGCCTTAGAGGATGACCTAACTCTACGGTGCTATAACACATTATGCCGAGTTATATGAGCAGCCACTGTTCTGCATCTATCCACAATATCCTGCCTGTTACTAGACACTGTGCAGTTTTCAGAAGAAATCATCTAGAAATGTGAGCTCACAGTTGAAGCTTCTGCAGAAGCTCTAGCAGACTAGTTTTCCTCTCAAAATCTGCACTCCTGTGCACGTTTATGGGCTGAGTCTGTGAGCAGGGTGTGTAGCCCTCCAGACGGTTCTGCACTGCAACTTCCATCGACCCTAAGAATTGGCAATGCAGTCCAAAAACCTCTGGGAGGAGGCCATGCAATGCCTTAAGTACTACCTTTGCCAAAAATGGTTCAAGTAAAGATATTATTTTTGCAAAAAAAAAAAAAAGGTTTTGTGTGCATGAAAAATCCCAAGGTACAATAGATAGCACTCTTATTGGACCATTCAAATGTTAAAAGTAGGTGAAGTTTTGAATCCAACAGGACCTGCCCTTTTCAAAAGCTCACCCTATTTTCATTATCTGAGTGGGCCAATAAAGTCATGCCTTACCTTGGTTTTGGGATTTATTCATTCATTTATTCATTTTTGGTGCTGAGATGACATAGCTTTAGTTCTTGGTGCATGTAAACATGTCACCAAACCTACTGGCACCTTAGTGTCCTCTGCTAATCAACTGACACAGATGCAGATAGAAAGAAACCAGAAACAGATTATATGAACTTCACATTTTGCAATAATAAATGAAAAATAATGGTTCAAGGCACTGATAGGGATAAGAGAGGTAAGCTATCTGCTTTCAAAACATATTTTGTCAAGTTATTGGGAATCGAGGGAAAACTGGGCTTGATAAGCCAATAAGCAGCTTTCAAAGCTGCAAGAGGAATCGGGGGGAAGGGGATCTGGCGAGAGGACAGAGGAGGGCTGTGTTGAAAACCTACGTAGAAGCACCAGGGGGCAGGAAGAAGGGATGAATGCAAGAGATGTTAAGGCAGTAGGAAGAAAGACTATAGAAACTGCTATGCTGGATCTAAGCAAAAATTAATCTCATCCAGCCTTCCTCAAACCAGCACACTACTTGTGTGCTGGACTATAATTCCCATCATCTCCAGTTAGCTGAAAAGAGATATAGTCCACCATATCGGTAGGGCACCAAGGGAGATCAGTCAGGGCTAATCCAGCATTCTGTCTCTACCAACGGCCACTTCCACACTTCTTGGAAACTCACACAGCAGAGACTGATGGAGATGTGTTCTCTGTTACAAAAAGCTGGGGCTTACAAAAGACAACTGAAAGATGGGACTTATTCTACAAATGGACTGAGTCAACAGAGATCGCATGAAGAGCATACGTTAAAATGAGAACTTAAATCTGGAAGGCAGAAAATAGTAAAGAGAGCAATTTGGAATTTTGATATGGCAATACGTATAGAATGGATGTTAGTATGTCATTGTTTCTCCTCTTCCCTCTTAACCTCAATCCCTTTTTCCTTTCTGTTACCCATTGTTTAAAAAAAACAACCAAAAAGCTAGGGCTCTGGGATAAGACTCTTGGGGACCAGAATGTACTTCTGGGGAGAGGAGAGGCTGCTGTACAGCTAATCTGTCAGTTGATGTTTCCACCAGTTCAGTTTAAGCCATCTTAACGAGCTAAAGTAAATCTGAGGGCACCCAAAAACATCTGGACAATTGAAGTCCTTTCCAAAGTGATTCCCGTGGGGACTGTCATTTGCTAGCTTTGCAGGAGTTCAAGCGATACCTCCGAACAATGAACACTGATAGAACAGCAACCATGGAGCTTACCCTGGGCATCTCCTCCGGACGTCAAGACGGCAATGGCCTTGCCGACCCCCATCGTGTCCGCGTGCTCATGTCTCGCCGGTGTTTGGGACGACATTTTCTGGGCTGGAAAATCAAGAACAATGACAACTTCTTACACGAGCCTGATGGAGAAAAAGGCTCTTGGGCTCCCTGGTCTCCGTCCCGCACCACCTGCAGTTTCCGGAGTGCTCCTCGTAGCCTTCTGCTGTTGCCTTTCAAAGAGAACAACCCCACCTCTTCTCCCATAAATGACAAGTGGAAATGTCATTCTGTAAGTGGATCTTTGGTGCAGCGTCAGCCACACCTAATCCTAAAGGGGCACAGGGCCAAGCAGTCACAAGTACCAATGAACAGGAGCGATTCCAGGTCAGGAGCTGTGTGGTTATCCTTTGACACCATTGCCAGTGTCTTCTGCCTAAGGCTCAATTGTCAAATAATGGTGCTGGAAGCATGCGCTTCTATGGTGCCTCCAGGTATCAAGAAAATAGAGGTTCAGCGTTCCAAACAGGAGTGGTCAAAGTGCAACTCTCCAGAGCTTACTGGACAACAACAGGCTATGAGGAATAATGAGCGTTGTAGTCCAGCAATCTCTGGGGCCCAACACTTTGCTCACCTATTTTAAAAGGCACCTCAATCCACAATTATATGCCTAATTACTTGGGAGTAAGCCCCACCGCAGTCAGTGTGGCTGGCATCTGAGTAGTTATGCACAGAATCACATTGGTAAAGATCCCAAGCTCCTGTTTTAAATTCAGCAAATCGATTTTTCCAAAATATCAGCTCTTAGATGAGAGTGTTTTGGTCTGCTGAATATTAGGACTTCAAAGAATCATAGAAAAGTGAAGTTGGAAGGAGCCTAACAATGTCATCAAGTCCAACCCCCTATGCAATGCAGGAATACAGTGGTGCCTCGCATAACAAGTGCACCGTTTAATGACAAATTCACATAGTGATCTAATTTTTTAGATTGCTAATGCGATCGCATTGTGATGTTCTGTATAGGCAAAACATCGCAATGCGATGATCGGTAAGTGTTTCGCTTACTGATCTTCGCATTGCGATGTTTTTTAAACAGCTGATCAGCGGTTCCAAAATGGCCGCCGGGTGCCCAAAATGGCCACCGCAAGTGTTTTTGTGCCCAGCCCTCGCTTACCGATGGCGCGAAAATGGCGGCGCTATGGAGGAACATCGCTGAACGGTGAGTTTTGGAGCCATAGGAACGCATTAAATGAAGCTTAATGCATTCCTATGGCTTTTTATGTTCTGTTTAGCAATGTTTTTGCATAGCGACGATTAATCTGGAACGGATTAACGTCACTATGCGGGGCACCACTGTACAATCAAAGCATATCTGCCAGGTGATTATCTAAGTTTTTCTTGAATACCTCTAGTGTTGGAGCACTCACCAGCTTCCGAGGTACAGTAACTGGTTCCACTGTCAGACTGCTCTAAAAGCTAAGGAGTTTCTCCTGATATTCAACTGAAATCTGGCTTCCTTTAAGCCCATTGTTGTGTGTCCTGCACTCTGGGATGACTGGCCAAACATGGCCAAATCTTTCAGCCTTTCCTCATAAGGCTTGGTTTCCAGCTCCTTGATCATCCTTGCCACCCTCCTCTGACTTAAACTCCCAGAAGCCATAGCTAACCGCCAATGTTAAGGGATTGTGGGAACTGTAGTTTAAAGTGTTTGGTGGGGAAAGGGTTTTTGCCACTGATAATAATGAGATCTGAATTCAGATCTGAACCTTGTTATTGAGGGCATTCAGGTGATCAAATAATCCTTAATCAGTGTTGGGAGGTCTAATCAATTAAACAGTTAATTTACTAAAGTTATTTTCAATCAGCTCGAAAAACAGTTCATATTCAACCAGCTGCCAGATTTGAGACAGCTAACATGACTTTTTAAAATACAAATACTAGAGAGTTCAGTGGCTTAGTTCTCTGGAGCCAGAGGTTGGGAGTTTGATTCCCCCACTCCTTGACAGGGGCTGGACTTGATGATCTGTAGGATCCCTTCCAGCTCTGCAGTTCAAAGGCTATTATAAATACACATTAAAGTTGCAATTGGCAAATTGTCCACTTAAGAGACCATTTGTGTGAAACAGAAGAAGCAATTGGCAGGGACTACAGGGATGGGGAAAACAATCAGCTTTCCAGATATTTTAGACTTCAGATCCCAGAAGTCTTTCTCAATGGAGGTGATACTAAGCCAGTGGTTCCCGACCTTGGGTTCCCCAGATGTTCTTGGACTACAAGTCCCAGATATCCTGGCCAGCACAGCTAGTGGCAAAGGCTTCCATAAAGATATTGGGAGAACCCCACGGTCAGGATGTAGAGACATTACAAATCTTCAAAGATCTTATCAAAAAAGTCAAACCCTTTTAGGAAAAGTTTTCTGGCAGATGGTGAACAGACATTTCAAAGTGCCTGTAGGTTGGAATTGTGAAAAATTCCATTTGGTGCAGGAAAGAAAAGACAGTGATCTGTTAGCTGGCCTGAACCCCTTCCTATGCAAATACACACAGGGAAGAGCTCACCTCTGCTTAGAGAAGGATTAAGCAAGTCCTCTTAGATAAAAAGATCTTTTGAAGTGGAATAAACAAAGGGCCTCCTTCATGGATTGCTGCCTTGTTAAGGACGCTCAGCTGGGGACGTGCCTGGAAGTGAAAGGAAAGTCCAATGCTGCAAAGAAAAATACTGCATAGGAACCTGGAATGTAAGATCTATGAACGTTGGTAAGCTGGAAGTGGTCAAACAGGAGATGGCAAGAATAAACATCGACATCCTGGGCATCAGCGAACTAAAATGGACAGGAATGGGCGAATTCAGCTCAGATTATTATCATATCTACTACTGTGGGCAAGAATCTCGTAGAAGGAATGGAGTAGCCTTCATAGTCAACAAAAGAGTGGGAAAAGCTGTAATG